ATCAATCATTTACTGCTCCAGTCAGATTGAAATCCCATAAACAACTTTCTACAGGTTATGTCTTGAAGATGCCTACTCAAATCACGAACTGAACCGGAAATTTTAACAGCGGGTACGCATGCTCATTTTTTTGGGTCGCAATTGAAATGCATAATTATCAGCATTGGTTTCGAGTACTAAATTGTGGTATGTATTGCTGTATAAAAGTTTGCGAGTTACCAAACTCTGCCCGTTCTTGAAATATTAAAAAAATATATATTTTTTTCCTGAAGGACCATTTACGTATCATGAGAACGTTGTGAACTTTTGTACTTATTTTTATCAGAAAATCCTTAAAGTATGTACATTTCCTCATAACCCACCCTATATAATATTAAGTAGGTAATTAGTATCAATTAATTAATTAGTTAATTAATTAATTAAATAGTAATTAGTCAATTAATATAATCTTTTAATCTAATTACAAAATTATTATGAATTTTGAAACAATGTGTGTTTTAAGTCTCAGTTGAGACATTTAAACTGAAATATGGTCTATAAAAATGCACAACCTTCTCTCTTTCTTTGATTAAATTATACTATTTTTCAGGTGACAGCAGCTACCGGTCGAAGGGTGAAACAAAAGGCATCATTCTTCCTGAAATATAGCTAATAAATATTCCTAGGTGTGGCGTAACTCTATCCCATTTTACTGGAAACTTCGGAACAAAGAAAATTAAGTCAACTTCCTGATTAAATGCCACCGACGGCGACGGTTTTCCTAACGAATGAGTCCGTATTACGGGTTCGAAATTATCTAATGGAAAATTAATTTGAAATAAAGTCAATCATTTTCCGTCCGGAATTGGTACCGTATTTTCAAGCACATAAGTTTATAAATCACTCAATTATATACTTCAGATTTAGCTATTTATACGTGTTAAAAAAATTATGAATTGTAGTTTCTATTAAACGAAATGAAAGTGCAATCATTATTATACAATTAATTAACTTCTGAGGTCTAAGTCGAAAAATGAAAATAAGAAAATTTTACTAGTACTATTTTTTGTAGTATAACAATGTAGATATTTCAAAAAAAGTCATAGAAAATAGTTAATAAGACGAAGAGAAACAAATAAAACAAATTCCATTCATAAACTTTAAACACTATTTAAACTTAGATTAAATGGTTTTACATATTTGTCATTTGTCGGTGTTTATGAAATGAAAAGCATCCACCATCCACCTGATATTAAATTAATTGTAACATACTAGAATAGTAATTGAACTTGACTACTCAAATGCTTAATAAAAACATTGCAAATGATACTGCACATAAAAAAGTTATATGGCAAGAATCGACGATCAACTATCGTAATTGAACTCTTTCGTGATGATTTGTACTAGGACAATGTCCGCACCCTAACTTTTTTCTCTTTTAGTCTTTTATATCCATGTATTGAATATTTCTTTATTTTCGTATATTTATGTTAGAGGTCGTTGACCAAATGACCCTATTTAGAAACCGCCACTGAGTCGAGACCAACTAGGTTGCATAAGTATATCGACGCATATCACTGCAGTACATTTGAGCTAAGGGATTAAACAATATAATAAAATTATACACACAAGGTGTAGCACAAAAATTAAAGTGGGAAATTTCATTTTCTAATAAAAGTCAGTTCCAAAGGGATACTTTTGTTTCTTGAATAATCATATTTGTGATATAGTTTTCGTGTTTTGAGTCTATACTATTTTAGAACGCCAAAACAAGTGACACTACTCGAAATTAATAACAATTTGCAAATCTAAATTTCGCTTTGTTTTAACTTTCGCAAGCCCATTTAAATTAGAGCGTGACCCAGATATGCCCAAAGCACAAACGCGAGATATAAATCCATTAATAAATTATTGTACTGTTTGTGTATGAATTAAAATGATTTATTTTTGGCTTTATCTGTTGAGGTCGTACGGATATGGGGTGTGTCAAAATGTAGACATCTTAGTATTAATATTTATAATATTGAGAATATTTTAGGTTAATATATTAATCATCCATATCTAAAATAAGAGATAGATGTGAAAGCTATTGAACTATGCATTTAAAAGTCGATGCATGTAGGTACAGATCCATTTTAGAAGAACTATATAGCAGATATCATCGTGTTGATAAAGGATGTAAAAAAATTGGCCAGCTGACATAAATACATATTAATGAATACTTGTATCTGAAAAATTAAATATTTGCGAACCTATGAACCCATTTTCTTATTTCTGGTCTGGTAGAATTTTGTCGGCGAAATATTGCAACGCTTTGTATATTTGAAGTACCTATTTCATTTCTAGAAATTCCAAAAAGTACACAAATTTTCTTAAGCTAAAAAAATATTAGATTGCAAATTTTCAATAAAATATTTTATTTACTTTAATTTTGAAAAATAATACAGTACTTTATTTTTTTTAAAACAATTCTAATAAATTAGTATAAATATTTGTTTAAAAATAAAAAGTTTGTGTTAAAAAGTAATACATTTCCATATTTTAAAAATTTAGCTCTGGAATTTTAAATTAAAAAAAAAGGATAAAAACCTGGCTGAAATACTATGGTACAAAATCATCTCAATGGCCTATACATATATATAGTATACATAAAAAGCTTATTTTTGACAACCATGAAGATTTTATTAATAAAGTGGTCGACAAATTTTCAAAAAATCCGAGATTATGTTTTACCTAATTTTCGTTGAATTTCTTTATTTTTATAGTTATTTATATTTTTTTGTATTAAAAAGGTTTTATTAAAAATATTTCTAAAAAAAATTTATTCTACTATTCTTATAATTTATATTTCTCTCATCCTCTGTCTTATCTTGCAGAAGTTTATATTGAAATCAAGTATAAAATAAAATGTTCAAAAGTATATTTAAGTATCAAACTGTCATCTTTTGGCAATATAAATGGTTCCCAATAATGTATTAAATGTTATTTATAACTTCAGTTCAGCGGTCCTAAAAATTTCTAGTTTTTAAATTGCATCGACTTTCTGCATTTGGCACCCCTGATGATATCAGAAAGTTTCAATATGCTCTAAGAAATATGACAAAAGATTTATAAACAATTTCATTTTTGACACTGACCTTAAAAGTAAAATGTTGCCCATTATAGGATGATAGTTTTTCAAGAATTAATTGTTCTGACCAATAGGTTCAATTCTGAGAATAAGCATACCCCAAAAAAAGAAACAAACATAAGCTATCTAAATATGAAACAGTCTAGGTATATTTTAAAATACATATACATAATAAATACATACATATAAATACTTATAAATGATTATAAGCGACGTGATCAGTAATATTGTTTGGAACAACAATTTTATTTCCTTCATGTAGCTCATTAAATTTCGGTGAAATTAAAAATTATTAATAAAGATCGAGGTTATCTACATTAAAACACAACATTCTGTTTCAAAGGCTGTGATTGATGTAATTTTCATGAGCTATCATTCAACCAATCAGCGATCGCATTATCTGGAGAGTAGACGTAAGGGTTTGTCATTGTTCATTGTAAACGAATCATTAATATTAGTAACGCCAAGATTTAGGGATTTTTCCTTATCAATACCAACCGTATATTGGGTTATCTTAGCTCGGCGGTCACGTAGCTTGTAAACATTTATGAAAGCACTGTAGAAGCGAAATATTATCGTTTTTGTATTTTTAACTGCATAAAGTGAACGAAATTAAAAAAACTACCTATAAACTACATTAATTCTATTATTAGGTATTTAAAAATTATTAAATAGAATACTAAAAAAGCGCACAATTTTTTATATAAATATATGACTAATTATCTACAATATTTCATCCATCAATCTAAAAAGGACAAATTTATGAGAATTTTTATTTATTATATGTATATCAGTATCTAGAAATTATCGATAAGCATTTGTCAATAAACGATTAGTCAATTTCAAACAGGTGCACGTGCCTATGACTTGCAACAAGGCTTTCAGTCATAGATATTTTCTAAGTAGTCTGTATTTCGGAATAAGATAGGTAAGTAACTTAAATATTACGTAAACTATTACGATATATCTAAAAATGAGCAATCACTTTATAATTCAGATTCAGATTATTCTATTTAAAGAGCTGATACACAGGGTGTACATTTGTACGCCTATGGTTGTTTTTGTTCTTAACAACAAAACAATATACATAATTTAACTACATAGTAACTTTGTTTTACAATTAGACAAAAAAACAATAACTTAAAAATTAATTGTTCTAAACAGAACAGCTCTTTTTTCTTTGAAATGCTACTGCGAATCAAATGAACTTACAAAATTTCCAAAATGATATTCAGCATTCTAGTACTCTTAGTGAAGGTGTCTTCCGGTATCTCTGCTACTGTTTAATATTATTGTAAGTATACAAGTTCAGAGAATTTTTACATTTATTTGGTTAAGTCACCAACTCAAGTTTCATAAATCTTTCGAAATAATATTTAAAAAATTGAAACGCCCTGTAACTGCAAATGAAGTAACAGTGGACTAAAGTATATTTGTCCCAATTATCATATTTTGTGTTGCGCTCCTTGCCTTCACTGAAATACATCCAGTGTAACTAACTAACAGAAACGTAAGTGTCTTATTTTAATTCAAACTAGAAAAGTATTTTTAATATTAATCTACCAAATATATGACACTGAAAATGTCACGTGCATAATGTGCAGAGAAATGAATGAATAGATTGACAATGACTGACTATTATTAGATTTATAAGGTAGTTTTAATTTATAGTACAATCTTTGTAAAAAGGAAATAAGGCGGTTTGCTAGACATTTAATTAAATTGAAATTATCAGTTTTATGTACCTACTCCGAATAAGTTCAAAGTAACTCCTAGATGCATAGCTGTCGCATTTTGTTCAATAATTTAAATTGGCTGCGTAAGGACCCATGTAGTGTTATTTTTCATATTTGTAAATAGCTTTATTAAAAAAAAAAATAGGAAGTCCTACCATGAGTCACAATGTTAATCGTCTCATTATGCAGATACCACATGCTGTTCACGCACCCCCATGCGTTAGTTAGGGGTCTGTACCCAGTCAGGATGTGGGGATTAAACTGTAAGTGCTCGGGCATATCCCTCCAATGAAGCAGTGTGGATTTTTTGTAATTTTTATTCTCCTCATCGTGTTCCAAGGAGTTATCCTGTTTGCTCGGCTTGTGACGGAGGTGCAGGTCGTCGGCTGGCTCAGTCATCCTTTTTTCGAGGTAATCCCGCCAAATTCACCACCATCATGCTCAAAACATCACCTCGACATCACTAACGGATAAGCGTTTCACTGGATCGGACTGAACTAACACGGTGACATTATTCCGGGGTGCACACGCGATTTTCTGAAACGGCGCAACTCACACCTGGCCGAGAAGCGTTACTAAAGCCACTCTATTGATTTTTCCGAATTTGGCGGTAGGCGAAAATTTTGGAAAACGTCACGGAAACGTTTCTTTAGAAATAGAAATCGGCAAAATTTCGCACCTGATAAAGTACAAAAGATAAATAACTGTACATAAAATACTTTCAATGATAACTTTCCTATTTCCAATCTTAATTTTAAATCTAAAAATGATGTATAGTATCCGATTAAATGGTTTCCGGACAAGTTTGCACCGTTGATAACAAATCATATACCTACTTACCGAGTACTTATTTCGTCGTTGCATGAAATTTTTTAAATATTCATATTCTTTTTTGATTGAGTTACATTAACTATTAACTATTTTAAGTGCAGAAACTAAGAACTGAAACATTTTAGAACTAACTAATAACTTGAAAAATTCGAAAAATAAGTAAATAAGTTAAATACCTATCTAAAATAATTTCTACAAACAAAAATTGAACTTTACATCTAGAAAACATGTAGTGACAAATTGATAGAAAAGTACTTACACAAATACCTACTATTAGGATACATAACTAATAGGAAAACTTTTTATCAAATCGATGAAGAAATAAAATGCCAATTTTCAAATTATAACTTTAAATTAAAGCTTTAAAAATATATTCATAGATGATGTAGAATAAATTCAATTACCAATGATGCATATAAAATATAAAATATACGGAGACGTAAAACTGGTTGCATAAAATTTTTCTGGATTGAATGAAACAAATTTAGCTCTTAATTTTTTTTAACAAACGCGATAAACGTAATCGTGAAACATTTATGAATCAATGTTTTACTTTAATGTTCACAAAGTATTAATTCGCTCAGGAATTTAGAAAACTAATAATTATACACTATTTAAAACTACCAGCAGCATAACTGGGGAATACTTCCTATTTGCGCAGGCGCAGTTAACGCAGTTACTGGTAATGTAGATTTCTTCAACGTTTGCTGAGTCGATAAACGCTCAAGAAAAATTTCTCTCCCAATTTCTCTTTTAATTTTATTAAAAGTATTTATAAAATTGTGTGTTATGTGTTAAGTGGTTAAATGTAAGAGTAAAGTAATTCAAGCAGCATCAGCTTTAAGGAAAAATTTCATACATTTCTTTCATGATTTTAAAATTGCATAAAAAGTCAACGACTTCACTGTCCAACCAATAGGTTGGATCGATGTTTGGCTTGTCGGTAGCTACAGAATTATTTCAAGGTTCTACTGAGAGGACTTGGAATTGTGTTTTACATATTGTTCATTTAATTTGGACCAAATTAAACCATATTAGACAGCCCAGAGTAAGTATATTCTGTTGAAATAAGAAACTAAATTGGCGTACGCGTCCTATAAGGCTCAATACTGTTAAATATCGCCAATTTTCTGGCGCCATAAACAATGAAAATGGCTGCCTCCTGGAAAGCAGTAAGAATATTTTTCTAGAATTATATTCTCCTAATTTGAAGATATATTTTATAATGGTTATTTAATAAATATGACATTCCTTATAAACGTCAACATTTATTTTTTCATGGATACCATTGTAAATTATCACGTCGACTATCAGGGTTGGCATAAATCTATTTAGACTTCAAACAGTTGAAAATTCACGTGTAAAAGTTCAAAACATAAATTATCTTCAAAGAATCATCAAATTTCCTGAACACTACATTTTTCATTGTAAAATCTGTTTGCGTATAGAGGACAAGATGTCCGTTTTAGACTTCTATAGGCAAGCTGACTACTCTCGAATATACAAAATACACTGTAACTATGATGTACTGTGAGTTCCAGGTAATAATTCTTACTTTACTAACGTTAACATATTTATTCTAGATGCCCAGATCTAGGAAGAGACATCACTCTCGATCCAAATCTAGGTCTAAGTCACCTTCTCGTGATCGAACCCATGAACGTGATGAGAAACACAAGAAGAATGATTCCCGTGATAAAGACAGGGATGGAAAGCGCAGAAAGATAGAATCGTATGATAGCCCACCACATAAGAGATCTGTTAGGTGAGTAAAAAATTTTTCTATATTATGGGAAGTTTGAGCAGGTAAACACTTTATATTTTATTTATCGCAGTAATTACGGTATAAGTAATTATGAAAGCAATTATGTAGAAAAATGTTTACTGTATTATCATTTACATATTTTTTACATTATTCCTGAGTTTCCCTCCTTTTCTTCTTGAATTTCCGTAAACTTTTATCACAATTCTTTCAGATGTTTATCAGAAATTAAAATGTTTGTCATGTTATGTTATACTTTTGCTTCACACAAAATTCAAGGATTTTTATTACACCACGCAATGATTTTGTGACCTTAGTTTTATGAAACACATACATATTAATATAAATAATTATTGGTTTATAAAAATGCATACATTACATCCTACTTTTTTATATATCACTGTTATCGATAATTGAGTTTAGACACAAAAAGTAGAGACCTACTCAGGTTTCTATTTCAAATCTAATAACTATTTTGGGGTACCTAAACTTGGGAAAAATTCAGATGGTCTTAATAATTGAATCGGTTTTAAGTCATATACTTTTTTTTAGTTCATTACATGCTTTAATTTTTTTTTTAAGCCATTTTTAATCAGTGGTCTTTATTACGTCAGAAGCATTTCACTGTAGTCATACTCGTATAGAAAATATAATTGAATATTTAACTGGACACTGGAAATTTTTAATAATTTGATTGAATTTTGGAAAATTAAATAAACATAATTTATGAGGTTAAAAACTTGTTCTCTTAAATTGCGAATTGAAAAGGTAAATATTGTTTTAGCGTTATTTCATTATCATTGGTTAAGAATTTTAAAGCAAAAATTATTTTTAAAACTTATTTGTAGTCCACTTCTATGAAACTATTAATTGAGTTTAGTTTTAAATGATTACAAGCCATGTGACCAGTAATTTTATTTCCTTCACGTTCGCAAAAAATTAAAACAGTAACATCAAGATTACATTAAAACACAACATTCTGTTTCACCGGCTGGAGATTGATGTAATTTTCCACGAGACTTTATTAAGCCAATCAGCGATCACATTGTCTCAAGTGTAGACACAACAGTTTGTCATTGTTCATTGTAAACGAATAATTATTATTGATGACGCTAAAATTTAGGACTTTTTAGCTGACAGTACCAGCCATGCAATGTTGGGTTGCCTAAGCGCGGTGGTCACATGGCTTGTAATCATTTATAAGACTGTGCTATCCTTTTAAACGCAATCGATTTAGTATGTTTTGTTTTCAAATTCTTCAATTTGTGTTTTTCCCTCATAAAAAATTATATTGATTGAAGTTAAAAATGACTTACACGTCTCGAAAAATTACACAATATAAAATTTTGACTTGAACATTTCCATCTATATAAAAATTGTGCAATAATAAAAATTATTATTACTTTATAATCAGTTGAACATAAAATTCAGTAAATATTTATTTATTAAATATTGGCTCAAATATAAATTTAAAATAGAAATCAATATATCTACCTGTATGAGATTATGAGAAGCAGGCTACATTTGAATGGTGAATATACAAATTAAAATAAATCGGATAGTTATGCAAATATCTTTAAAAAAACTATTAATTTGTTATTTTGGAATATTACATTCCAATAGTTGGTCATTTTGACAGTTTGTTTAATAATTTTTTGCCTTTATCTGTCCAATTAATCGAATGTGTGTTCTCAATCCTATTTTTAACTCTGAAATACCTAATATATTACGGGAAAATAAAATTTTCGTATAAACTTGCTATTACATTTTGCATATTATTAAACTAATGTTTATTAAATGAAATAAACTACTGTTAGTCTATCTTGAGCTTTGGTCATAATTAAATGGTGAATAAACAAAATATGCTGTGTAGATTAGTCAGTTATGTGAATACCTCAAAGACTAATTTATTGTACTGGAATATTGTTCCTACAGTTTGTCATTTTGACAAGTAAATGATTTGTTCAATATTTTCTATTTGTCTATATGTTATCGAAAAAAAAAATTGTTAGTTTTTGATAGCTAGGTATTTTTGACTTCTGACATAATACATTATTACAAAATAAAATTGTGCCAGCAATTATTAATTTCGCGTTTTATATAATCGTGTAAAATAAATATTTCTCCTTACAATTCCTTTTTAAATGTATGATTTGATAAATGGATTATTTCATTTTAAAAACTTCACGCAATAGACTACAGATGGCGGTACCGTTCAGTAAATGAGGTTTATAAATAAACTACTTTTAATTCAAGTATGTTTGGGCGTATGAATTTGCAATAAATAATTAGTATTTACTAAACGAGAACGAGATTTTCGCATAATTACTTTACGAACAAGCAATCAGAAAAATGTGAAGAAACATTTAAGTTTGTAAGAATATATATATATATATAGACATATTACGCATCATTACGAAGCCGAAAAAGACAGATTCATCCGATATTATGAAGCCCACTAGGTTAATACGAAGCCCTCCTTCGGGCTTCGTAAAGATAACCGTGTATAAAGTCAGAAATAGCTATTATATGATTATAGGGACCTGTAACAAATTTTTAGGTAAGGCTTCGAATTGGCGCATTTTATGGCAAAATACACGCGCCATAGTTCACCATACTGATCTGCAGAGGGCGCGTCAGTCAATCTGTATATATTACATACATATAAAATAGATCNTAGTGTGTTGAAGGCTAAATATTTTATATTTCAAAGGTGTACCTTTTGACCGATATTAAAAGCGTGGGTTAGTATACGAAACGTGAAACTTAATATAGGCGCTAGAGTAAAATTGTAAAATTCAACCTAAGGAAAGCCAGGTTAACCTCATTAATTCAGCTGTGTTCATGGTAATTGTGTTAAGAGGTAATCAGAAATA